GAAAAAGCTGGGTATAATGCATCTCAACCCCTTCGCCCACCACAAGATTTCTGAAATCGGGAAGACCTTCTCCTCGGGAACACTCACCATGATTAGAAGTGGCAATTGTTCTGGTTCTGGTTTCCCTCCCGGCACTTCAAGGCGCCAACGGACGTCCAATCTTGACAATCGTCTCCATGGCCGCCCTCGCCAGTGCCAGTCATCCACGAGCAATCGTAGCCCTCGTAGTTAATCGGTTTGGTCACGTAGTGCGCGTACCAGGTGCAAGTACGGTCGCCTGCATGTACGGACGGGATGTGCTCGAAAACTCCGTTCAAGATCCTGCACGTCCTGGCGCAGCCATTCGGCCCATCGTCGCAGAAGTCGTCGCAGTAGCTGTCGCACCTGCACTCGTGCGGTGTGCCCTCGGCGTAGTTTCTCGTGTAGGTCATCCCGTCGCAGCCCTCGTCGGCGGCCAGTGCGGCACCGAGAGACTGGATAGATGGGCACGCCTCACCATCGTATGATGGCCCGCCGATCGCCGAGGCATCGCAGTACCGGCAGCCCGAGTCCTCGACGCACCCTTGCCCTGGGCAGGTCGGGTCCTCGAAACACCAGATAGCCGAGTTGGCATGCGGTGCTGCGCAAGGCTTCGCGTCCGCAGTGCAGCCCGAAGACGGCGCTGGCGAAGGGCACGCCTCACCATCGTACGATGGCCCGCCGATCGCCGAGGCATCGCAGTACCGGCAGCCGGAATCCTCGACGCACCCTTGCCCTGGGCAGGTCGGGTCCTCGAAGCACCAGATCCGCCACCGTGCCTGCACGATGTGGATAACCTACGGTGTGAAGCACTGTCTGGCGGGTTTTTTGACATCTTTCAAGGGACCCCCCTCTCGCCACGCTTCAATGCATGCACTGCCCCCCCCACCAGCGCTTCGTTGGCGCGATCTTTCGAGCAGTCGCCATCCCAGGCGCTGGGCTGGCACGGTGGCGGGGAGTGCCGCAGGCAGCTGGATAGCCGAGTTGGAGTGCGGGGCTGCGCATGGCTTCGCGTCCGCGGTGCAGCTCTCCAGGCGTCGCGCCGCAGCAGAGCCCCGCAAGCTTGCCGTGGTCTCCTCAGTGGCCAGCGCTGCCCCGAGCGACAGCATGGCGAATGACACGCGGGCCATGGCGCTCACACAACGTCTGCACCTTGCACTCTGTGAACTGAGGCTTCCCACAAGATCGATCGACTTGAGCCAAACCGAAAACGGTCCTCAAATCAGGAAATCCGACCGTCGTCATTTGACATGAGGCCCCTGCGGGGCGTGCTCCAGGCCAGCCCAGAGTCGAGGAGTCTTCTCCCCCCTCCAATCCCTCACCCCTCATCCATCCACAAATACTCAATATGAATATTACGTCCCCTTCTCCCCTGGCCCAGTGCGGAAGTTGACCCACCCTCTCCGCGTAGTGCGTAATGCTTGTAGACAGGGTTCAAACGTTGATATCCCGTATGCTGCGTTTTACAACCCGTCACGATCGGTCCTTCAAAATGGTGCTGCCGCTGCAGCGTCATTGCCCCCGCCGTTCACTATGGCACGGTTGCGCCAGCGCGGGCCACTTTTCTGGAACCGAGTCCTTCCTCATTTGTGCCGCATCCCTCCTTGCCTCCCTCCATCCTTTCCCCTACTCCGCCTTGCCCTGATCCTCCTGCTCCTCCCGCTCCTTCCACTCCAGCTCATGCTGCTGCTGTTCGTCCTCGTCCTCGTCCTTGCTCCTGCTCCTGCTCCTGCTCCTCCTCTTCCTCCTGCTGCTCATATTCCTGCTCATCCACCACCTCCTCCTCCAGTGTACGCAACTCACCTTTTCCGATTACGAATAACACGATGGAGCCCTGTTGGGGAATTCCAGGTCCGCATGACACGCGTCGGCGGTCAGAGAAAAAATAGCACCATGGGAACGAGAGGCATCCCAACGAACCCTCATATTCATCCAAGAGGCTCCTGCCCTACAGCCCAGGCACGGTGGCAGATTGGGCCGAAGGCCACTCGATCCGCCGCCCCCGGTGGTCTTGCCACAAGGGTGCCTGGCATGCTGAACCCTACGGCTTCGTTTTGGTTCTTGTTCAAAAGAACTCCCTCTGGGGCTTGAGCCCAGCGCGCCGGCCACGCGGAAGGCTCCCAAACGAGCACGGCGTCCACAAACACATCTCCAAGACGGCGTCCTATCTTGTAAGATGCTCACGTTGGCCCAAGATGGCCTCCAGGATGGCCCAAGATGGCCCAAGTTGCCTCCAAGTCCGCCGAAGAAGCCACCAAGACGGCCCAAGATGGCTCCAAGATGCCTCCGAGTCCTCCCAAGAAGCCTCCAAGATGGCCCAAGACGGCTAAGAGGCTCCCAATACGCCCCCAAGACGTTCTCCAGGAGGGACCGAAGAGGTCAAATTCATTGGTTTTCCCAATGTTGTTGAAGTATGTTGGCGTGTGCTTCTTCTCGGCCTTCCGAAAGCCCAAGACGGCCCAAGAGACTCCAAAAATCGCGC